GGAGACCAAAACGCCAGCTTCAGGGAAAAGCGTGACGGCCGCAATAGTGGCTCCGGACGACGAGGCCAAGGAGGCAGCGCAGACCAGAGCGACCAACGCCAAGCACCAAACTCCAAAGAGGACCGCAAACAAGTGGACATGTACATCGATCGGATCCGGCGCATGTTCGAACGGTGGAACAGAGACGGAACCATAACTTGCAATTACTGTCTCTGGGGAAACCAAAAAACTGAAGGACGCGGCCACGCCAATAGAGATAACATGGACATTCCTAATCGGATATGGCACCCTGATTGGCGGAGTCGATATCAGAAGGGATTCCCGACGGAGTCAGTGCCTCCGTCGGGAATCTTAGTAAATCCCAACCGCTTCGGCTTGGTGCCACCCAAACAACCCCGACCACAACGTGGCAACGGGCGGAATGGTAGCCGAAGCCAGTCCACCGGCTCAGGCCGAAATGGGAACGGTGGCGGAAATCGACAAAGCGGCGCAAAACGGTATGGAGCACGGGGATTACAAACACCCGCCAACGAAAGGACCGCCTTTCCGCCATTGACCGATCAGCAGTTGAAGCCGAACAGCAACGGCGGCGGCTCTATTCGGGCCACCCCAACTGCGGGAAACGCCTAAAGTCAGGGAGTAACGGCAACCCCCCTGACCTGTTACCGGAACCAAAACTGCCGGATATACCAAACCCTCGTGTACAGTCACTAACCGCAATGGATCCCAAATCGGCCGCCCAGTGGCCCGCCGGCGGATCCTGGTTTAGCACCCAACCGGTGACTAAGCCACGTGACTTCAGAAGTGCGGTCGTGCCAGGACGTGTAGAAATCACGCCTGGACCATCAGGTTCAAGAAGTGAGACCCGACCGACAGTCGTCCAATCAGCGATCAAGTCGATTTTCGGAGCCCCATTTAACCCTAAGGCCAACCGATCACGTGGGAACGCGAGACGTCGCACCACGAACATGACGTATCCTAGATCGGCGTCAGAAACATCCTCCGACTGCGCATTAGAAGGATGGTCCGTAGGAAGCATAGACAGTGAGGTCGACCCACCAGAAGAGTGGACAGCCAAAACTCTGGAGGTGTCAGGTCCCGGCACCTGCTGGCTCCAGACCGGTGGACGACCTCTCTGAGCCGCACCGACAGTGCGGACCATCAACAGTTCAAAAACGTTCTTTCTGAACACTAAAAATATGTTTTCGACCCTACGGGAACCGGAAGCATTAAAGCCCAGAAGATTAGTCCAACAGGAGCCCTTGATAATCAAGAATGCTTCGCAAGATGCTGCGCAAGATCCGGGACTAGCGTCCCTAATCCCCATTATACCGGTGATGCGGGATGTTACAGTTGGTTTGACGAGAACCGTAAACCAAAAACCGTCCAATTTGGACCAGTCCACACGCTCGCTATGCTGGACACTGGAGCGGAAACCTCCCTCATTATCGAGCAATTTAGAGCCAATTGCATCCAAACGGAGCTATTGGGGGGAACACCAAAATCCTTGGTGTGGCGGACAAATCGCCTTTGTGGTTAGAGGTAAAAGTGCCCATACAAAGAACTCATTCTAGAAAACGTAATCGTTATTTGCAAAATTTAAGTTTTTGCTGAAAGTTCATAGAGGAGGTGAAACTCTAGAAATTTCCGAAAAGTCACCATGTTTTGTGAGTTTTTGTGGATCTCGTTTATATCCGGCATCTTCGCTGTATTGCTGACGATCTGGAATATATTCGCTACATTGCGGCAAGGGTGTCATTCAGATGGTGTTCTGTTCCTGCCTTTTGCTGTCGGAGAGGCCCTGAATGCTTGCATCGACATATCGTCCGTCGGAAGTTTCCACTGTGATGGATCCTGGAAAAGTGACTGCAGGGGTTGTCTATGGTTCCTCTACCTGGACTCCATGGGAGCTGCCTCGTTGTCTTTAATTATTGTTGGCTTAAAGAGAATGCTTCAGCGGCGCTGGATTTTGCTAAGGAATGGTAATAGTTAGGTTGCGTTTTGCGCGGCTTTAAGATAAACGGCAAAATTGACAATAATTTTAGCCTTCGGTAATCTGCTTTTGATGACGGTTTTAGAGCAGGATTTGTACGCACGGTAAATATGATCCCTACCCCTTCCCCTTAATCTCCCCTTGGGCAGTTACCGGCACATCAGAAGATTCAGATTTGAGTATTCCTGAATCCGCTTTAACAAGTTACACCATAAACATGCAAAGAGGAAAACATAACGATGCAAATAAGAATTTTTGAATTGTTTTGTGCAACTGCCCGCGTGTGGTGGAGCAGAGCTGTAATAGCCCGATATATGTCAGGTAGGTATCACCGTGAACAAATTTTTAACAAATTTTACAACAAATTAAATAATCATGCTCAATAAATACCTTTAGAGCTGTCTGACCGCAGCAGCATACAGCAAAGACTCTGCACTACGGCTGATACCAAAGATAAAATTCTGATAAGATGTGGACCGTATGAGATAAATACATGGGTGGCCGGCAAGAATATCCCCCCACTCCCCCAGGACATTTGTCCCCCCTGCCACCATCGCCAAAACAGTAACCCTTCGGCCAGAATGGTGACATGGGTACCATAGAAAGCTGATTTTTAGGTCAATCCTTGAACTTTGAAAAACCGCCACCAGCGTTACCATAGCGTTACCAATGAAAAACAACTGTAATAAATGGTGACTCGATGGACATTACTGCTACAGTAAAAGCTCTATAAAATACACGCACGGTTACACCGATTTCGTATGCTATGACGAGGTGTATTTTATAAAGAACAACAGCCCCCAGAGCCGGAGCTGAATGTTATGTCCAGGTTTTCTACATCGGTAAGACTGCGTTCGGTTCCGCGGAAAGTGTATGTAACCCTTACAAAGAGGGGAATGTTATAAAGATAATCCCCCTATGATATACTCTACGAGACAATCCGGTTCCTTGGAGTGCGAATGTTATACAGGAGTGTATTTAAGGAAAGGTTTTACTGTACAACACTTTTCTTGTTAACCGACATGGGGGACATTATTGCCGGAACGAATTTAGTGGTATCCGGCATGGGGGACATTAATACCGGAGTGAATTCATAGTTGTCCGGCATGGGGGTTATTATTGCCGGAATGAATTCATAGTTGTCCGGCAATGGGAGACATTAATGCCGGACTGAATTCATAGTTGTCCGGCATGGAGGACATTAATGCCAGAGTTCTGCATTTCGTTGCTGGTGTCCCTTCGTCGGCCCTGTTCAGGATGTGGGCCGCTACTGAAGCGCACTCTGGTTGCTATGTGTGGTGCTGCTTCTGGCAATGGTTCAGGTATGGTCCTGACGTTGGTCAGGCCCAAGTCGTACATGGGCCATACGCTGGCGGTTACGCTAGGTTGTTGGGCAAATTTTTTTCAGGTTTTATAATGTCATTGAGGAGGTTCGAGCACATCCGTTGGAGTGCTTTCGGAGTTTCCATGTGGTATTCTCTATAGTCCCACAATAGGACTAGACGTTCGTCTTCCCTTAGTGCTCACTCTTCTTGAAGATTGTCCAGTTCTTGGGCAAATGTTCCATATTGTTCGGCTATCTGCGCCCACGTTAGTGGTGCACCTGTTTTTTCCAGCCAGCCATTTACTAGGGCAAGGAGTTGGTGGGCGCGGTATTCGAGGAAATTTCTCACCCCCGTGAACCATGTTTTGTATCGCTGGACCAGTTTCCCGTGAGTACTGTCAGGCACCGGCAGTTTGCCCGGTGCCACTGGTATCAGGATATTTTTTACTATCCCTTGATCTGGCTTCAGTATGCCGGCGCGAAATTGGGTCGTGTAGCGCTCAATTGCATTATGGACGCGCAGTTCCTAAATGAGGCTCTCGATGTTATCCAGGCATTCTTAGTAGGTAGAAGCAGGAGTTTTCTGGTATTCAAGCCGGTTGAATCTCGCTTCATCATCGGGTCCCGGTGCCTCTGGTACCGGGATAGACTTTACCGCGTCCCAAGCGATTTCTTTGTTTGGCTTAAGGATAAAGGGTGAACTTGAGGGTAAACTTGGAGTGGAGATAGTCACAACCAAGTAGAACCTGCACGTCCGTTAACGTTGGTTAGACGAAGAACGTGTGGTGGCTGTTATATCCCTGCAGAGTCTTGGTACGGTGCAGCATTGCCAGCACACTTTAAGGCATCTTGTTTTTGGCAACCAATCAGCTGGACTGGTATGGGGCAAACTAGCCTGAAGGATATCCACCCCCCAGACCGGGGCGAAATAGCCGTCTGGCTGCTTATACGGAGAATTGGGGTAAAATAGCCAGTAGGTTATCCGACCCCAGACTGGGGCAAAATAGCCAACCAGCTGTTCCGCCCCCATTAGGCAGTTCTGGGGCTAAATAGCCTTAGCCTATTTTTATTGCGGTTGTGATCAGTTGATGTTATCGTGGAAAAAGGGAGGCAATGCAACTAAAGAATGAAACTGGCGTGACCTACTCGGCACCTGCCGGTCGAGAAGAACCGGGCTTAACTGACTACATTGAGCGATCAAACGTTTTAATCGCTCAGTTTTATGGTGTTTTGGTTCGAAACACTTAAAAATACGCACTTGCGAGGGACATGAATGAGTTGCTTCGAAACCGCTAAGATACCAACATCAGTAAGCCAAACTTCCAATTGATGTTTATTTGAAAACGAATAACGAGCAGATAGCAGTCCCATCATTTCCGTTTCACAAGTACAAATACGTTAGATACTTTCTTTATAATATTATGGCTTTAAACGTTATGGGGGATTCCGAACGTTACTACCCACCAGTAGTGCGCGTACGCAACGGCCATCACGCCACAACACGTCGTCGATAAAAGTTATGAGTCATATACAGACTGTTCGGGTCGTTGCCTACCCTAACTGAGTCGATGATATTCGCAATTTGCATTTGCCTATTGGAAATTTGGTTTTCATCGGGTTTCGTGGCAATTTTCTTTACGAGTGTCCATTGTTCAGCTAGCTGTTAAAAACCGGCAGTTCCTGATGGAGATGAAGGAGAGTTTGCAGGCCAGTGCCAGCCGTTCCTTCAAGGCTGGCGATCGTGTAATGTGCTGTGAGCCCGTTGTGTGGGCCTTGGAAAGCAGCTATTACAAAACACGCTGTGCTTACTGTCTGCGCGAAAGCCGAGAACTACGCACCTGCTCAGGATGCAAATTTCACCGCTACTGCAGCGTGGTTTGCCAGGTACGACGCTGCTTTTGGAAGTTCTCTGTCAGTAACAGTGGATTTTTCCTTTGTGCAGTCTGCTGACTGGAAGCTAGAGCATAAACTGGAGTGCGCCCTGCTGAAGACCGAAATTGGTGGTAACATGGAAACGGCGTGCAGACCTCCGGACCCGGCGCGAGTCCTCAGCATCAAGTTAGCCAACAAAATTAAGGTAGCTGTACCAGATTTCACAAATTCGGTTTGTGGCTCTTGTAGTTTCCCGACCATTGTAATATCTGGGGTGAAGAAGCTGGGTTAGCTTTGATATAGTAATAGGCTATACAGCACAGTAGTATTTGGCTGACATGTATTCCGTTAAGTTGGAGTACCATGGAGAGAGACGGAGGATACTAGCTCGACATTTCTACGTTTTTTTATACAAGCTGGCTCTTCTCTTTTCTTAGTTAAACACGATGACGGAAATCCCGGGAGCGGGACGAAAATCTGTCAAAGTCTTGTTACTCATGCTGCCAGTCAGTCCCGAACAATCAGAGCTAGAACGGCTGATGACTTCCGAGTGCGTGATATGAAAGCGAGCCACATCATGCCTAATTATGAGACTTGCTGGTGTTGACAGACTTTCCGCTGGGAAACCGCCAAATTCCATGCCAATCGGCGTACCAGTAAAAGAATTTTTGACCTATTATGGCATTCTTCTCCATAACGCTATGCGCATTTTCGATGCGCTGTATTGGCCCCGTGTACCAATCGGCTTAGCACTGTATCCACAGGTGACGCTGCATCGGATTGACATCGGTGTGCTGGGACGTCAATGTGGTGGTGGACTACCAAGGGCGACGGCTGCTCATACATGCTGTAGAAGACATTCCACAATACACCGGACTACGAGATGTAAGTCTTGGGAGTCTTATTCTTTCTGTTGGGATTCTTATTTTCGAGTGGGCCGACTGTAATTTCGCTGGGTATTGCCATACTTAAACACAACTGAGACTAATGAATTTTAATTTCTCAATATGTATATACTATATAGCGAGTATGTAATATAGCATCGCATCGTAATATAATAGCATATGTATGTAGCATCGCTCAGTAATAACAATCAAATGAAGAATTTGTCCCAATAACCATGAGAAGGGACTGTGCACAACACACTCGTAGCATCACCACGCATAAACTCTAATGATTGCGTATAATGAGACTAATGATTGCATATAATTAAAATAACAGTGCAGTGTATCATGTAATCTTCTTATGACTTGCAGCTGCGATATAACGCTATCAAGGAGCCATTCTGCCAGACAAGGGCGGAGCGGCGCGCTACATTCGAAAAGCTTGTTGGCTATCCGTGTAGTTGCCGCGGATGCACACCAGAATACGTAGCTGCACACCATCTTTAATCCTTTTACCTTGTTGGTATGGTAATTAACGGTCTTCCATAAGCGCGGTTTTTTCTTAGGATGCTGAAATTAATCCGTTACGCTGCGTAACACTGGGGTGCACGAAGCGGATTCCCAGCGACAGCCGTGCACTGCAGCCCTGTTTGGAATGCGGTGCCATCAACAGCGACCGGTTGGGCCAGTTTCGTCGATTTGAGGAGCAATATGAGACCTTAGAAAGAGCTGCTCGAGAGAGCTGTTTCCTTACATGATCGCGCAGCTGTGCCAGGAGATGGACGCGTCCGGCATCCTGCAGCCGGATGCGCATATTCGCTATGTTTGCGGCGTGGAATTGCCTGAGAAATTCTTCAATGAGAACCGCTTCGAAGAAGGCTGGGAAATGAGAAAGCAGTTAACTGGTTGCATACGGTGAGCTAGGTTCCCCCTTCAAAAATCTCATACCATGAGCAGGAGTTACGGTGTAATTGTTGCGGTCTTTCAGAAAGATATACCCAGAGTATGCAATATTTCGTTCTTTCCTGCTAATGCAAACGGGACTGTCGGCGCTGGATGCGCTTAGCAAGCATGTGCAGCGCACTAGAATGGATCAGCTCTCGAGATCGGCACGCAATCACCTGGAGGCATTAGCGGATGAAGTGTGTTTTCTCGTTATGGATTACTGTGGAGAAGCCATTAAGATCTTGGACAAATTATTTGGTCCCTAGTCCAAGGAGGTCAAGGAAGGATATGCTGAATGTAAACAGGCGCTTGCAAAGATGCTCCCTATCAAGCAAGCTCTAGGCACCAAATAGTACTACTGAGATTTGCCTTGGTAAATTTGGTTTAATGCTTTTATTATTTTGCAACGTATCTGTACAGGCAGGTGATGAATAGATTCCGAGAAATAGTTACGTATTCGTTAAAGTTGGTTTATTTGAGCCGAAACTGTCTACTTCATCATTTTACATTTTCCTTTATGGATAAAGCTGGATTGAACTGGATAGGTATGGCCTTGTCACCCCGAAGGAGAGTGCAGTGTTTGAGTATTTAACCGTGCTATATAGCACCGGATGTCCACGCAAAAGTATCTTTTTCGACCGCAAACTGTGGATAAAAGGAGAAAAATTGTATAACAAAACAAACTGCTTACACCATCAAGAACTGATAAACTGCGCTCTATAATTTCCTCGTATGTAAGAGCGCTTGAAAATGATCGATGAACATCATGGCTGTGTGAAGTAAACTTTCCACCTTAAAAGCGCTAGAGTACTATGCGGTGTAATTGCACAAGTAGTGACTATGAAAATAAAACGGTCTGCAAGAAGTTACGCATACATACACGCAGAGTATCCAGTGTTGCATGCTCGCCTACTGATTTCAGCGGGACTGTCCTTTGTTGATGTGCTCGACAAGGGAATGCATGGGATGTAATCAGTATCGAGACCGGCGATCGATTATCTGGAACCATCCGCGACCAAAGTGTGGTCTCTCAATATGGCAATATGGATTACTGTAGCGAAACCCGTAGCATTTTAGCTACGTTCGTATGGTAACTGGTAAGCACTCTAATCTACAGTAGTGAATAAATCCCATCAACCTTCCTGTAGACTGTTCATGGAATCATCAAAAAATGAGAAAAATATAAATGCCGATGCAGGCGAAACAAACGGGGATACTTCTACTTTGTACAAATAAACAGTAACTGGTGTACGAACAGGCACTGTAAATACAGTTGCATAGGGCACAATTTAATTTTAACGCACAAATTTCATGTTATTATGTTAGTACTTCGTATCGTGTATGTAATACCAAGCAATGTAAACAAATGTCTTGCCCGAATTATTTGCAAAGAATATGGTCAATACACGAGGACGCCAAATGACCTTTGATTACTTCAAGTTTTATGTTTCAACGCAGCTGCAGTACTCACTACTCACAACTGGAAGAACCGGCAAATCCCCGCCCACTGCTCGGGATAAGCCAACGTCCGCACCGAGCGCGCATAAACCGCCGTGACCTTTTCCCACATCCGATGCGCCACGACCGGACAATTGCCATTGACCGCGGCAATGAAGCGTCGACACTGTTATGTTGTCGTTTCCGTGCTACAGAAGCGCAGCAGCGGGATGCACACATCCAGGCGCCCTTCGCCGTCAGCCCGGAAAAACACATTCTGGCTTTCCGGCAACGTTATCCCGTCCATGCGCAACAAAGACTTGCTGCCGGTTGCGTCGGATGCGGTGTAGTTAACCAGCACCATCGTCTCACATACGGTCATCCATTGCGATAGTCCAAGGCATTCGAACAGCCTACTGGAAATGTTCCACGATGCGGCGGTCTCGTAGCCATTCTTGGCGATGAACAGAGGCAGACGGATAGCCTTCTAATGCAACTGATGGAAAATCGTCCACATTTTTTTAGCCAAATCCTTTTCGTGCCCCTCATGCAGTCTGTCACTAGGCGCTCTTTCGTCGAACCAATGCCACCGCGCGTGTCTCTTGGGAAAGGGTTCGTTCCAGCATCGTTAGAAGTTTGTAGTCTGTGATAGCGCTTAAAGCATAACATATCGAGCAATCCCAATATTCCGTGGCAAATAGGCAAGGGATCACAAGGATGACATGACGATTCCTGACATAATCACGCGAAATCAGCTTCTACAATGCACACATCCGGCAGTTATCCGGTAGCACGACGATAACCTAAGGTACTATGAAACTATCTGTACTGCGTATGCTCAAAGTAACCTCTATGATCGCAACCATTTAAAAAAGTCACCACTCGTAATGACTATCCACTGGTTTACTATGAAAGTACGAATAGGAGCACCCAAAAAGACCGGAAGAGGATCAGTTCGGGTGAAATATGTTTTAAAGTGCCTAATCGAAGTTGCGTCGCTCTTTCACGGATAAGTAAAGGTGGATCACGTTTATCAGTGAGAAAGCGGCGCTGGTCACGTTATGTGGTCACACTGGTCATCGTGGCCCAGTCGATATTCGTTACGACTACAAGTGATTACCGAGCATGAACATCTGCATTGTTATACTGCTGACAAACTACTGTAACTAAAACGCTACCAAAAGGCACTAAACCGTACTGGCTCATACGTAATTGAGAAATGACATCCAGCACGTTGGTGAGGATCGAAGACGGAATACCGAATATGGGCATTTCTTCCATTTCTGCAACATATTTAGATATAGGTATAAGGTAACTGCAGCAAGAGTTACCGTACATACTGTGAAGAAACTTCTAGCAAACATATGTTGCGGCAACATACGAGTACCAGAAACAGTAGAGAGTAGAAACATTAGTAGTCTACAGATACTTGTACTTTAAAGCCTAACAACTACAACTTTTATTTAGAAATTGCGAAATATTGAGAAATCAGAATTTAAATTACATAGAATCGCTTCCTCAATTTAACTGCTGTCTGCTGCGGAAATAAAAGCGATAAAAGAGGTTTTGACTTTTCATTCAGAAGCATCCTCCAACATTTTTTAAAATAACAATTTACTAAAATGTCAGATCTCGGTATACTTTATAGGTATTTCAACCTACAATGTCCTACATAACTTTATAATTATGCTGTGAACATTGGTTTTTTGAATAATACCAACGAAATGACCACCATTTTGTTTAGCCAACTGGCATGTGTGACGTGCGGCATTTACATCCTTCTGGAAAATCTTCCAAGTTTAGAAATTTCTGAGATCACAGAATGATGACTGTTCTACCGGTCACTCCAGCAGACAACCTGGAATCCGGAAGTCTAATCTATTTTTTTTTGTTTTCATAAACATAAATTAACTTTAATCCCACACAAAAGGCAATGAATGACGTGAAAATTGCTCTGTTTCTTTAAGTCGGTATATGTGTTTCACATAATTACTAACATTAATCATTGGTCTCCTACACGTAAATCAGTCATAACTCACGAAATGCCCAGAGGCGGATTCAGTTGATAATCGGCTCTACGTCTACTTATTGTATCATGCGTCTCGATTTTTAAGCTGTCTAGAAAAACTGTTGCACAACTTCTTGTGTCGCTTAACGCTCTTATTTCAGCAGCAGTCCAACCGTGGGAACCGATTGCAGTCACTACCAGTTGTATTAAACTAATTTGGATGAAATTATAATGATGTTAGACCTAAGCCCTACGATCAACAATGTCTCGCTGGCTCTCTATGGAGGCGCGACGTCGATGGTGGAATCGGGAAATTTCTTGGTGTCACCCATCAGTATTCTGTACGCCATGGTGTTGGTCTACCTAGGAGCACGCGGCCCCACCCGGGATAATTTATATGAAGCGCTGGATTTCAAGGAATTCTCCAAATCAGGAGCGGATGCAGACGTTGCCGGAGCGTTTGGGCAGCTGATGAACGACTTAAAAGTGAAAACGATGCCGAATACGCCGGCAAAAAACACCGGAAAAAACAGCAAGCTTCCTGGTTTCAGTGCTCCTCAACCGAAGGATGATGCATTCCAGTTAGCGCTTGCCAACGGGGTAAAAAAGTGTTTGAAGTATTGTAAACGTTAAAGTGCTTGTACTTTGAGTACCTCAACCTATTTGTGCCGATTATAAGTACTTATTAAAACCAGTTTTTTAACGTTCGGTGTAGTGGACAGCGTCTAATAAACTTAATTTTAATGCAAAATTTTTATTGAGATAAACGTAACATGAATTGGGCTTGTAGAGTTTCCTGTAATTATTCAAAATACTGTAAATGATGCGGGTTATTTTTTCGAAAAATTTGCTGGAAAGTGGCACACACATTGATGAGGTGTTTGTATTTCGCAGAAAACCAAATGAAAATGATTATTGAGTTAATTTATTTAATTGTGGCATATTACTCTAGAACAGGCTCACAACAACATATCGTGGGTTTAATAACAAAAGCCTGCTTTTCCTTCTAAAGATAGTTTACCTACGATTACACAACAAGCCAAAAGAATGTCTCCTTGTGTCAAGGTCAAACCTTTGCACTACCTATAATACATCCATCACAGGATGGCTCCAGGATGACTCCAGGATGTCGCCCTAGGAAATACGACCGCAACTATGACTTGTTGCCGGTTGCATAACATAAATATGGTTATTGCAACACCTGTATGTGCTACGCTTTATATGTTAATGAGTTTTTGATATACTAATATCCAACAGGTGTTTCTGCGCAAGGGTATGGAGTTTGATCAGAATTACCTGTCCATGGCCAGTCAGCAACTCAAATCTACCATTCAGACCGAGGACTACGCGAGCAACCCGGCAGCAGCGGCCGACGACATCAACAAGTGGGTCGCCGAGCGGACCGGAGGGGAAATCTCAGATTTAATTCCACGAGGAGGCTTAGACGTTGACACCGTGGCCATCTTAGCCAACGCGGTGTACTTCAACGCCCAGTGGTATACCGTGTTTCCTCCCCAGTCCGTCGACCCGCAAGCCGACTTTCAATTGCTGGATGGAACATCAACAACCGTGTCCATGATGGAAGTTATTGATAAATTTCGATACGTAGAAGATAACCAGCTGGATTTGAAGTACCTGGAAATTCCCTATGCCAACAACGAAGCCTCTCTGCTGGTGTTCTTGCCCAATGAGAACACCGGGTTGCGCCGTCTGGAAAAATCCATGACCATGGAGGTTTTACGCCGCCTGCAGAGCAAAGCCGACCAAGGATCCCCGATGTTCGTTCAGCTAAAGCTGCCGAAATTTAAAGTGGAGAGTGCGTTTGACTTGCGTGAACTGCTACGAAGAATTGGTGTGACGAAAGTATTCGCAGCAGACGCCGACCTGACGGGAATGGTGCTGGATGGCGACGCGCATGTGGATCAGGCCTTCCATCAAACTTTTATTGGTAGGAGAACAATGTGCGCTTGTATGAACTGTTACACAATTGATTGCGCTTTCCGCGATAATTCGGAGCAAAAAAGTTGACCATTGCGTGCTTTTTGATGCACTTAATGAGATACAAATATTCTTTTAATTTTTCAGATGTTAGCGAGAAAGGGACTAAGGCCGTAGCCAGTGCAGTAATAACTACCAATCGGGACGCCTTCTCAATAACTCCAGATTATCCAGAATTTTTTGCCGATCATCCATTTTTGTATGCCATTCGTCACAATCGTGCCAAGGCTATCTTGTTTATTGGACGGTTTGAGGCTCCTGTCATCTCGCCGCATGAATAAGCGCTTTTGCGGCCACAAAGTCAAATTTACTTGTGCGAGGACATTTGGTTGCTGTGAAGTGTGAACATACCCTGCACGATTAGGCTGCGATGAACAGCTGGTTAGCCGTAGCTCGCAACGCTACTGATATCACAGTCTGAATGCAAACGGCTATAAATTTAGCCGGCTGTTCATCGCAGCCTAATCGTGCAGGGTATGTTCACAGCACCCAAATGTCCTCGTATAAAAGGAAAAGCAGTAGCGGGCTACTACTGAAATATTCAATAATAATCAATTGCTTTTGCACGGTGTTTTTAATGCCTGCAGGTCAGCGTACTTGAAGGAACATTTTATTTTGTGTGGGTTTTTTTTGCAACAGAATATAAATGATGCGTCTTTACAAAGCCGTGAGGCATCCCTTGGCTGATTGCACTACGGTTTTATTGTCGCCATATCCCTCGTTAGTTGCCCGCGAGTAAAAATTGATACAGATTTTCCGAAATATGTGAGCTAATTATTTTGTGGGCTTCATCGCCTTTGTTGTTGCTTAAGTCCATGTAGTACCTTAGTACCTACATCTTGCTCGCCCCGGTAACATCAGCAGTTAAGTTGAAATTCGAAGAGGATTAAGTAGGATAATTAAATTTTCTTTGTGAAATATTGTAAAATATGAAGTGTATACGTAATAATATTGCATTTTAGTAAGTACAGTAAAGTACTTGTCATAAACAGTAGGCAGCTACTGACTAATTGTACTGACTGCTTCAGATCGTGGTTGACACTTGACAACACCATCTACAGTAAGTTCTAGTAATCAAGCAAGTCTAGAATACTTGTATGCAAGCTGCAAGGTAATACTACTGAATACTCGCAACAAGGAGGGACGTGCATGCATCTCATTAATGTACCGAGCAAGTCTGAAAGTTGTGACGCTCAACTTCTACAGTACTTCGCATGGGGCCTTAAGTTTTCCCCTCATTCAGTACGGGAAATTTTGTTTTCCCCCGCAACATGTGCCGCTATCGCTTATGTTACATACACGAGTGCAGCCTAAAAAGCTGGCTGCAGCTAAAAACCGGTTTCTGGCCAACTCGGCATATCCGATTGCGCAACTGAGCAAGAAAGAGCAGAGGCAACTCAGATGAGTTGCCGCAGCGCACGCGGCTTTAAACTGCAGTCAGCTTTAAGCGTGTAAGCGACTAAGCGGCACATGTGCGGGGGAAAACAAAATTTCCCGTACTGTATGAGGGGAAAACTTAAGGCCCCATGCGAAGTACTGTACATGTGGCTCCAGGAAGAGGAAATGCAACAAGAATTAACTTCTGTCCCTATTAAAGCGAAGTATCTAGCAAGTCGTACAGTACTGACCACTGCAGGCTGTAGCTGTGTCACTGTGTGTAATACAAACTGCGAGAGTCACAGGATTTCTCGGCCACTATATGACACAGTTGTGTTAAAAATCCGGAATCCGTTTTCCGTCCTTTATGTGCTATGTACCGTATCGCACGCACTTGACCTCGTTGTCGAGTGCGTTCTCGCTCTCGGACAGAATGTGTTGAAGCTATCTAATTCCGGAGTGATGACAATGCGGCCCATAATCGCGTTGACAGATATCGCAGGTAGTCTCAAACCGAATCTCTGTCTGTCTGACCGTCAGAAGACTGAGAACAATCTCACAGCAGTAAGCAATCTCTCCACTGAATGCTGTGTAATTACAAATCTGAATTCAGTTTTCATGTACTTTTGCTTTCCTTAACTCGATTTTCCGCGGGTTATTACTCCTTTATTGTGAAAATGGAAAGCTGTAGTGGTCTACCGGAAGTTGGCCGTCGTTCTTTCGCTGCGGGGGATGTTGTCATGTCGTGTGATCCCTTCGTTTGGGCACTGGAAGGCAGCGCCTACAAAACGCATTGTGCCTTCGGTTTTTCTAAGAGCAAGTCGTTGCGAACCTGTGCCGGGTGTCGTTTGCACCGCTACTGCAATGTCTCCTGTCAGGTAAGAAAACAGGTCGCAGAAGCAACGGCAGCAGGATTCCCTACAGTGCTTTCGTAAACCTGTCTGCCTCTCTGAACACGGTCACACGAAAAACGGCTGAACGTTATTCATTTGTCTCCTGCAAAAACCTTCGAAAACCTGAAATATGTTTAATACAGCTTGTATGACTATGATAACTGCCTGTATGACTGACTCTAGACTGCCGACTGGAAACTGGAGCACAAACTGGAGTGCGCCACACTGGCCAAGATGGGCACTGGAACGAAGGTGGAGCCGGTACGCCAGACGTCGGGCTGCGGAACAGTTTACAGCTTTAAACCCCCTCCGGAATTAGCCATAAAGATGGCTAATAAAGTCCGAGTAAGATGGCTTACTTTGCCACCCGTTTGTTTTGAGGCATTATGTTTGAAATGAGCACGACCATCCTCGGTTATGGAAGCAAGGAATCAAATAAATAAATCAATCAATAAAAAGGACATTTTTAAGAAAAAATAACCCTTTTGGTATTATTTATGGTTTCTGCACTTAGTGCACTAGCCAAGTCTTTTTTGCGCAGCATAAGTTGAACGCAGGTAATGTATTCTAACCCTGCACTTGAAGGAAATTTGTAGTGCAGCCACAGTGCTGCCACACGCACTTGTACGAGCCAATTCACCATTCACATACGCGGCTTGCAGCTAGTGCGTGTTTAAACGTGAATGGGTTGAATGTTTATCCGGCTATACAGCACCGTGTCGCTCATAGCGTACAAATTTCCTTCAAGTGCAGGGCTAGGGTACAGTATGTTCAGGTTTTTCGAATTTTTTTAACATGGTTGTGATGGGATGGCCATAATTGTGGACTTTTTGTGATCGCATTTGCTGCGGAACTCATTAGCAAAAAAAATTCAGAAGGTGCTAAATTTAATGTCAGAAAAAATAAGGCAGCATCTCAGCGATGTCCATAAGCTTTGCTTAGGCGCCTTTCCCTGCCGGCTGCCGCTGGCGGCAGGAATAGAATTTAAAAAGAGCAGCTGATTGCAAAATTATGAACAATAAACTGAAAGATGGTTGCAGTAGCCAAAAGGACGTGCAATGGGGTGACAATAGTCAAAAGAAAGTCCAGGGGGGGTGACAATAACCAGTTCCATTTTATTTATTAATACGTAATACATCTTTTTTCTTGGGCACACGATTGTTCGTACCTGTAACTGTTCTGCCTTTATCTAAAGAGACGTCGTACAATACTTCTTGTTGACCACTTATTTCTAGCTGAACGCAACGGTAAATATCCCCGGCCAGGGACAGCGTCCAGCGCGGGAACTGGTGGACATGCTACCCCAGCATCCGGCGTTGCAGGATAAAGAGAGCCAGATTAAGGAGATGGGGTTCGTTCTTTCTGTAATTTGTTTTTCCTGCTTTTGTCGTGCTCCGTAATTTTTCGCGTAGGTTGCCGGTTGTAGACCCGGAATCGGGGATTCCTGTGGTGGATCTCCTGACCTATCACGCCATTGTCGCCTACAGCACGCAGACCATCTACAGCTTGGCTAGTGGCAGTGCACCCATTGGGTTCGCCATATACCCGGTGACACCGCTATGCCACATGACGCCGGTGTGCTGGGATGTCAATGTGGTCATCAACTTCCGCGGTCGACGCCTGTTCATCCACGCTACGGAAGACATTCCCGTGTACACCGGGCTGAAGGATGTGAGTTAATTTTCTTCTCCGTTCACTTGCTGGGGAGATGCACATACACACTTTCCATCAGTTTGTGACCCTCTTCAAATGCCCACTGGTCGTTTTCGCATACTTCCACCTTTAAGAATTTGTTTTCACAACAAAAGATAAATTCGTGCTAATGGAAAATACTTAAAAAGGTTCAAAATCTACTAAATCAAATTGGAAATAGTCGTTTGTAACGGTTACAGTCGTTGCTCTGGTAAAGCGTTGGTTTTTCTTACAGCTACGCTTCAGTGACGTACAACAGCAATATTTCACGACGTTAGACAGACGCCGAAACGATTTTCGGAAGGCTCACGGATATCCATGCATGTGCCGGAAATGTACCGACGAATATGTACGGTTGTCGACTGCGCAGCAGTAAAGTTTCCAATTTCAAGGTGTCCCTAATCGTGGTCAAAATGTGAGACGGTGTCTGTCGTTTTCACAGGATGCGGAAATTAATCCGCTGAAGTGCATAACGGCCGGATGCCGCAACCGGATTCCCAGCGACAGTCGGGCGATGGCGGCGTGTACGGAATGCGGCGCCGTCAACGGAGAACGTCTCAAGCAATTTCGCCATTTCGTGCAGCGTTTCGTGGCCCTCAAGGCCCGCTATCCCACGCAGCCAGCCAAAAGCAAAGACCTGGGGATGGTGTTGTGTGCGGAGATGGACGCTGCCGGCATTTTGCAGCCGGATGCGCATTTCCGGTTTGTCTGCGGCTGGGAGCTGCCTCGCAAGTATTTCGCGGAGGACCGCTTTGAGGATGGCTGGAATATGACACAGGAAGTAGTCGTCTGTATGCGGCAAATATGCATTTTAAATTTATGATTTGTATTGTTTTGAGCTCTAGAGTAGTCTATTGCTTACGCGGTGTGTACGTATTTCGTTTTTTTTTTAAATTATGACTACCTCTACAAGATTGCGATTACGAAACACAAAGTCACGGCGCATCTGACGATGGTTTCTTTTTTTGCGGCTTCGAAAAGGTTTAGTATTTAATGGCTTTCATAAACTATTGCGCTAAATTGGCATTTTAGGAGCATCCATCCGAAGTACGATACGTACGGCGCTTTGTTGCTGGAGATTGCCACGATGTGTGCCGCTGAGGCTTTAGAGCAGCACGTGCTGGATAAAATTAAGAAGCTGTCGAAAGCGGCGAAGGAACGACTGGCAAAGCTGTCCACCGAAGTCTTTACCGTGCTGTTCGGATATTCACGGGCGGCCATTCACATCATGACAGTAGTGTATGGAGAGGGATCCGAAGAAGCTGTGGTCGCCAACAGACAACTGGTTGGTATAACCAACCAGTCGCGAAGGATCGGGGCCATGCTTTGCTGCAATAAATGAACCGAAAGGTCACGGCGAAATTTAATAGTTACAGAATGCTTCTTCGGTCTAAACGAATTCGCCAGCGCAACCTTTACGTTACGTACGAGAGCGTGCAATTTCATTTTTCAAGTTGGAAAGCGGTTTTTCAAGTTCGCTGTATTCTGCATCAGTTTCAGTAAATGCAAGGAACTCACTTCTTTCGCTGGAATTTTTGTTTTACGGGTTTCGTTCTTCTGATTTTTGATTTCGTAACATCTAAAAGCGCAAAATCTTCTTGGTTGCTTCGGGAAAATCTTCTTACCATGGCACATAGGGGTATGGAGAGCCGACCACGCCAGTTCGGCTTGACATCGGTTCGAAATTTCGTTCAGTGCGATCGAAATTTTTTTCCGTTTCTTGAGGCATCGAGTTGGGACTTTGAAAATTTTCAACTTTTTCGCTGTTCCACTACCACATACCAGTAAACTACTGTAGCGGAATTCTCATTAGTTTTTTAGTGGAACCCGTGTTTACATATTTTTGCTGACGAAATCCAGACTAATTAATATCTATTTGTACTAGAAACGCAATATTGTAAATTCATCTGCTTCATTACTGTAGCGTGTTCATGGAATAAATCATATTTTTTTGAGAAATATGAGATTTGATTGGTCACTGATTGCTTTGTGTGATCCGGCGGATTATACTGAGGTCCTTTGATCGAACGTAGAGTTCTGCGTTGGTTCCCGATATATTATTGGTAGGAATCACTATGGTTCCCGATATTAATGGTGCGAGCCACATTTAGCGCTAGACAACGGACGCTTTAAGGTAAAGTAAAACTGAAGAGATAGCGAATTTTATTAAATTAACTGTTAAATGCAATTGATCACTTTTGGTAATGCGTTGTGTTGACTTAGGTGAATAGCGATAGGAATTAAGAAGCATGACACTATGTTGTTTTGTACAAATCATTTATTTTTTCCTCCTTCCGTAGCATTCAAAAATCATGCTTAAAAAAAATTGAGGCAGCAGGATTAAAAAGTATTTAAAATAATAATAATTCCCGCAGGTAAAAATGATTAGTATCAGTCTAACCACCGTGTCACCACATGCAAGTAAACATAGGGAATTCAGCGCATGAGATAGAAATATAAGACTTATCATTATCAGCATCGTGCTTTAAAAGTTTGAGCGAATAAGGTTTTATTTTCCCAATTGTTTGGATATACTGAGATACTGGAGACAGGAGGGCAGCGATTTATTTTCGTGGCAGCCATGGCGCTGAAGGTGTTCGGAGATTTTGGCAAATTGCTTTGAGCGGAAGCTGCACTTATTGCACTGGACCATTTTCCCTTTCACAATGCGGTGATGGTCAGCACTCAGAGTATGCAGAATTAGATGAGACTTTTTATTGGTAGAGTATCTGCAGGGCTCGCAATGGTGTTTGGCGTGACGCTGTTCCTTACGGCGGTTGTTTTGTGGAGAACGGAAGGTTGGTTCAATGTTTTGCTCCTTGTTGACAATGCTAGTTTGGGATGCACGTTTGCCCTTGGGTCGACCGCGTTTTCGTTTAATGGGCGCAGAATCGACGACGGCAGCAGATAATGTATGACAAGCAAGCGGTTGCAGAGTGGCAAGAACAGCGTCGTCCGTCTTGGTGTGGATCTGGTTGGTAGCATTGTGCGAAGAGCAGTGGATGTAGCGCTGGGAAGGAGATAGCCGAAGGCAGTTTCTTTGTAGGAGTCTGTCCAAGGCGTGCAGAATTTCATCGTGCAAGTGGTCAGTTTGCACACTTAAAAGATAAAATTTGCAAATAAGCTCAAGCAAGATTAACCAGTTATCACATAGTTGTATTGACATTTTTAGTTTATCAAAATTTCGTTAAAATCGATTGATTACCGCATAATGCTAATTTGAACCGTATTTGTATAAAGTGCTCTAAATAAATTGTCAAATGGCAATTATTCATATTCTATACTAATGTAAGAATTTCGGATAGTTCTGACTTTATAAGGTTGATGGTGTAAATGTCGATCCGCGTAACTTACTTGTAGGAATACCGAATGTATCGTTCAGTCTCCATCAGGGATGATCCCACTGGGTCTCCTATTTCCCGGACAGCTGATTTTACTGCTCGCAGTACGCAACCCTTGATGTTTCCGTCGCAGATCACAAACGTTCGCAAACTTCGCAAACTGTCCGGATCCTTGTAGCACTGGAGTCCTTCAGTGTATACAAGTAATAGCACGCCATTTGTTGTAGCTAAATCTAGCTCTGTCCGAATTAGGGAGTCATCGTGGATATTGTGATACATTCTAAGTGTCTGAACGATACGGTCAAAGCCAGGCCGCTGCTTTTGCGATTTTATACGCCGAATAGCTTCCTTGAATACGTGCAACAGTGAACAAGATTCTGGATTCTGTGGTTCCTTAGATTTGTCGGAGTTTACAAGGAATATGTTTCCGTTTTGCAGCTCAGTGCTGTTCATCTTTGCATATAAAAGCTGCGGAAGTATAAGAAAAAGAATGAATTTCTTTAACAGAAAATAGGGAAATATATTTATTCAAAAAATGTGTCACGTATTACGAGCTTTGTGCAAAAATGTCTGTGTGCAGGCATATGTAACCAAGTTGTGACTTGAGCGTTCGGTCTTCGTCCTATTGGATCACAATGGGGCAGTACGTACTGTTGACTGTCATATAATTAATACGTACTGCGTGCTATGCATACTCAGCAAGGGTGCCTGGTGATGTGCACTCAGTGTGAACAAAGTTTTTGTAAATTCCCGGTCATTGTGCCAATCGGCGAATTAAGTGAATCTGCAGTGCGGATAATTCTTTTTTGAATTACTTTTATATTTCCTTCCTTGTTTAGAGGTAGCAAATGAAGGTCTGCTGTGGTGGCACATTTTGACATTTGGTTTGTATTTCATAAGAGAAAAGATTGGGGGTTTGTTTTTTTTTGATATACTAATAGCTTACATCTTTGGATTTGGAATAATGGATATCGCAGCGGGTGCGGAAATGTATAAGTTTAAGAAATATTCGACAGTAATATACGCTTCCGTGTTGAAGGTGGGGTGCTCCGCGTTCTGATCTAGCGCCAAAGTCGTGTACGCCAGGCAAGGAGATTCATTTGGGCGTTGTTTTATTGTACGATTTAAGGTAACTTACCTCATTGTATAGAGATTCCTGTTTTCAAAGGTTGATCGGTTTTAATTTAATCGTTGAGCATGTTTTTTCATTTGATAGCATGAAGGCGGGAAAAAACAAATTCGGGAAAGAGGTTCTGGAGAAGCTGGAGCTGGTATGTGCAAGCATTTTTTTGAATTCATTTTTGTTGAATTTAGCTATTTTTTGCGTATTTTATTACAAAATAAAGCCACTGTAAAATGCATGTAGGTTATCTACAAATTTATGCTTTCATTTAATGTTTGTAATTTCAGTTTTTCTACGCATATGTGCGGAGATTGAATTTGCGTATTTTGATAAAGGGATAATAGGATAAGATTAAATGGTGCTTAATTATAGGTGAAATCAAAAAAGAATATGACTTTGGAAGTTGATCCTTTCACTATTAATGCCAGAGACGTGTCCGAGTTTGTATTAAACGAAGTTCGTTTGACGGAGGAAGACGTGAAGGTATCAGCTTGTTCTAGAATATTAAAAAAGGATGTCCATAATTTTTTGTTACGCGAAATCTGTGGCATATAATTAAGATTATTGAATGCTTTCAGATGATTCTTATCGAGGGAAAACAAGCCGTTTCGGACAGCACAATGATATCGGAGTTAATTAGTCGGGGCGCACTCAAGCAGGCACTGTTTGTTCATTCGAATAGTTATTTAATAATGACCTTCAAGTCTGAGACTCGCGACTTTGAGTATAATATTCGGGTTTTGTGTCAATACTAGTTTTAGGGCACTGTAGTTTTGCGCTTTGTAAATTCTGTCCTTTTATTTGCAGATCGGACAGACTTACTTTGTGGAATACCTTATTCTGCCCTTTCCAGAGCTGGTCAACTCGGAAGCAGACTTGCACATTATTTTGAACAGCCTTGTCGGAGAATTGTACGCGGAAGAAAGCGATGTTATTCCAGCGGGAAAACCGTCGGTCAACTGTACGATGATCTTGAGTTCCACCAGTCCAATTGAGCAGACAATTCAACCGGAGATTGCAACCATAGGGTTATCAGTAGTCAACAACCTGGACACCTCAAAGGGGATTTCGGCAGCCGGTAGCGACTCTGATCGTATCCGTTTGGGGATTGAAGTCGATCTGAAAGTCGAGGCAAACGACGACTTTCGGTCAACAATTTGGATAGTACGGATTCTGCTCCCGTTCCCATCGTATCAACATTTTCAGTTGCCAGAAAGAAAGAACCAAAGAACAAGCGGATGAAGCTTTTGACACCTAGTATGGCAGTGGCGCCTGCTTGTATTGCCTCAGGAGGAAATTTTGTGGAACATCGTGGAATGCTAACTTCCGCGCTGGCGCTTCCAAACGGACAATGCGGTGCAAGTGCGCAAAGTGAGAATGTCATCATGGCTTTTTATTGAGTCTGATTGTCCAATTATGCTTTTATTTTATTAGACCGTTGTCTGAACATACCTGTTCCGCGTACATTGCCACCGATGAATAGTAAGGACGTCTTTATGGAAAACAGAGCCTTACAGTCAATGCCGCCGGCTAACAGTGGTCAGTGGGTTCTTACATCTCGAGAACTTGCGTTAATGTCGCAGTTGGTGGTCGGGCACCGCAAAGTCACAATAACTTTTGACGACGGCGACGGCAAGTCCAAAACAGTATGTGTAGACAATTGCTCATGATGATTAGATCTCATTGGCTCAATGTGTCCATTTGTCTGCATTTCGGGTCGATTAATGTTTCCTTTATTCGCGAAATGTCGGTTACTTTTTTCGGTTGTCTAAGTACTTTTGGATTGGCATCTTATTTTCAGTGCCGATTTCTCTTGCTGTATTCAATAACTTCATACAAGTGGCAATGTTCGTGGGTGTTTGCTGCTTGAGTAAATTTTCGGTTTTACTACATCAGATTACCTCTGTTTATGGTTTCTTGATTCTGTCAATAAAACCTTGAGAGAGAATGCGGAATGTCAAAAGCATCAGATGACACGGACGGTGAAGTAATATGGAACGCACAATATAGAAAGTTTTCAAAACATTCAAGGTTAAATTCAGAAACAATGCTCGTATTATTGTTACCGGATTTAAATTATTCGACATAGTTGAAAATGTGAAAACGCAAGCGATTATGCACAGAATCAAAGACAAACATCAAGCGTTTGTTTGGCTTTATGCTTCCAGTTTTTGTCAATTATCTGCAGCTTTTAAGTGAGTGCTATCGCTCGATAATGTTATGATTTATGACATGGACAAAACGGAAATAAGAAAGGGGTGTGGCTGATCTAAAGGAGCAATTGGCTATGTAGTAGTAATTGCTTATCGCTTGTTGCGCAATACACAGTCTGCGGACCTGAGATGCCATTCAGTTGTTAGTCTAACTGGGTTTGGAAACAAACAATTAGTTATGCGGGTTCATATTTGCTGGTATACATTGTGATTCTTTAACGTTTTTAACTGCTTTTCAAGTAGTTCTTGAATCTGTTTAAATTCTTCGTGGTACAGATTGGATTACTGCGCTTGCAAAGAGGATTTGGTTTGGAAGAGAAAAAGAAGAGAGGTTCAGAAAGATGATGCGACCGTTTAGCTATCGTGACGGAGATGGAGTTTTGCGTGAGTTAAAATGCTTTGGTGCCTTGCGTGCAAATTACAAATGATGGTTGTGATGAATGTTCTTCAAACTAACACATTTTTACAGGAACGGGACTAAATTCCGTGAAACAGCCACGTATTATCGATATTTCGGAGAAGAATCTAAAGATCTCAGGATACACACAAATTCGTATTGTGTGTAAAAACACACTGTACGCGGTATAAATGCGATTTTAATCCAGATTTAATATAGCTGTAATGGGAGTACCTGTCGTTGCATTTGCAGCGAGTGTAAAGGCCAAAAACTGGACTCCCACCTGCACGAATCCATCAAGAAGGTGAGATATGTATTTGGTTTCAGCTTATTTTAAACGGACGCTTTTCGAAAGAAACAGTAATTGTACTCTCTGTTTTATTTTTTGTTTTTGCTTTTGGGATACATGTCATCTATAAAGATTAGCATTGGTAATTTAACAGTTATTGTGTTTATTGACAAAACGAACTTCTTTACTGAAATTCTAAAATTAGCACCAAAAATAATACTATGCATTCTGCTGAATAACAGCTCCAATCTCGCCATCTGGTCACATTGTGCGATAATCGATTGACTGTGGAAGAGCTATCGGAGGACCTCAGAGAACGTTATCAATTAGGAGGAGCGAAAATGGTATGTGGGCATCTTGTATAACAAATTCTTTAAAACGGATAAATTCGGTAATTTGTTTTTTTATCAGGAATTTAAGAAAAACGATGAAACACTGAAAAGTTCAGAGACTATTCAAGATTGGGTCAACTGTATGAAGTGGAAAAAGGTCAGTTTCTTTTATTGCATGGCAAGTTAATTACTGCATATTTGATCTCTTAATAATTTACTTAAGATAAAAATATTCCATTATTTTGCGTGCTTTCGTGTTTTTTTGTTGATCAGCAAAAATTTTTTAAATTTAAAGGAACCCGGATTGTACGGAGAGGTCTGTTACAGTGTCGATTTGGAGATTTGCGCTGCTGGTGGACGCCCTCCTGTTATTCCAAGTTTTTCTGAACTGTTAGAAAGTGTGGCTGATAAAAACATCAAGCGCATAGTTGTGGAAATCGGTTTCGAAGACGGCACAAAAATGGTCATCACTGGACAGTTTTAGTAGACTTAAGGTACAATCAAATTTGGTTATCTAAAAAATTGGTTGTGTGTTGTCAAAATTTTAATCTGTTGGCCAACACTAAGAATCCGATAATTTTTATACATCGCAGTGCTTACAAATAGTCGTGTTGCTGATATAGTGTAATGCAAGTTTTCAAGATTCGGCAAATTATGGTTTTGGTTTCTGATCTTTGTTGTTTGCAGTGGATTCCAGTTACCCAAACGGAACATTTCTGTGCTGAAATTATTCTTCTAATCTTAATGGCCTTTTACTCTTTTTATTTGTATAAGATTGTAACACTTTATGTTACTCTGTATCATAAAAATAGATTTTTGGGTATGTTCGTGAACTAAAAATATTGATGGAAATGTGTTCAGCCTTCAGCGTTCTAATTCAAGGTTATATTAATATGGCTTCCTAATTTTGCATTTTGGATGACAAGTATATTGCTTGCAACCGTTTTTATTTGTCATTTCATATAACGTGCTGTACGAAGTAAAATTGATCCACTCTTATGTAATAGCCAGTAATGCTTCGTAGTCTTTGATTTCGAGTTACAAACAAAAAAATCGAAGCATAAACGGAGTTTTTCAGATTTATATAAACAAATATAAAATAGCTTTTCACCGTCGTGTCACCACACAGTGATAGTAGGTGTTTCTCCTTCGTATCACCACTTGTGTTTCCGCTCTCGGGGAGCACGTATGCTGGAGCCGAACTGAAATGAATTCAGTATCCTGGTTCTTAAATTTCAGTGGCTGTTTACCACCAGTTGCAGTATCTTCAAAGTTTTGATTGGTTACACTTTCTTCAGCGTTTTCCCTTGTTGCCCAGGCAGTGCACAGTACGTGATTTTGGGCATTTTGCTGTAGAACTCAAATTTTCTAGAAACTGGATTTATTTTGGCGATATCATCGTTGAGTGATTTTTTGCGCTATCATTGTTGAATGTTGTTTTAGTGGCTGATCATTTGCTTTTTACGCAAATAAGGTTTATGTATGTAAAAAGGGACGGTTAAACACAATTCGTTGAATACTGGAAAACTGACATGATCCTATGATGTCTGGGGCACGTAATCGAGCTCAACCGCAGTATGCTGATTTCCTTAGCGTCGAGGATTATTCGGAGGCCGTACGACAATATGAAGATGCCGTAAATCAGGTAAATGGTTTTCTTAATAGCGGTTATGAAGTGTAAAACTTTAAATGCCTTAATATATGTGCGGAATGTAGGCAAATGTTGGTAGCGGGTCAATAGCTGCCAAAGATTCTGGTACACGAAGATCCAACCAAGACAGCAGGACGACATCTCGTCGTACGGGTGATGGAGGTCGTAACCACACAGCGACCGCAGCAGCGCCTGCAGTAGGAATTCGAGAAAACCCCTCGAAAAAAGCGATGAGAAGAGTGCAAACTGCTCATTTTTTTGTAATACTATATGGTTTGGGTTGTTATATAAGTTTTACCCGGGCTTTTGAACTGATATTACACCGTTTCAATTTTAAATAGGCTTCAACTGCAGTGCAAAACAGCAGAAACGGTCAAGTGGAGCAGTTGTCCGGACGTACAAGAGAACGAAGCGCTCAAATGCATCAGAGTTCTCTTGGAAAAATGTTTTTACTGCAGATTTAGTGAAATACTTCCGAATTTCTTTCTTTAATAATTGTAAGGATGTGGAAAAATTATTCAGCGGCCAATAAGCGGCAGCTAATTGGCTTTAAACCACGGAAGGCGGGTGTCCTTAAGTTGGATCGCGGCGATGAATCGTCCGATACCGAGTTATCGGAGAACTCAGAAGATGACGAAGAGGATTACTGGTTTCGTAAAGCCAAGAAAAGGATCGAACATCGTAAAGATCCATTCGATAGTGACAGCGAAATTGTATGTCCCCAATTTTACTATGGCATAATTTTAAACCGGTTTGGTAAAACTGTAAAAATTACATTGCAGGAGCCGCAGAGTGAAGCTGCGTCACAGAGTGGAGATGGTGATGTCCATGTAGATCCTATGTATGAAATATGTACAGACGGCTACTCAGCTGTTGAAATAAATGGTATTAAGTATCAAGCCGCGGTTTGGAAGCAGGAGCCGTATCTATTTGAATTATCCAAAATCAATATGGGCGGCGTTCCAGTGAAGATGGCAAAACCCGGCGCTCCTGAATATAGTTTTCGGAAGTGGAAGGATGTGGAAAAGGAGGCCAGTGAAGCCGCCGCTGCAACAGATCGCCATGTGAAATCAGGAAAACCTTATTACGTGTGTCCTTATTGTTCGAAGAAATATGCGACCAAAAGGGAGGATCAGGCAAAAGGCAGCCTAAAGCGGCATGTTTACGGATCACCAGCGACTCCTACCTGTCGAAAGCATAACGTTTGTGCAAAATATTATGAGGTGGAAAAGCACACGGTCGATAATGATCTACCATGCCTGCGACAAATGATTCGGATTGAAAACGGCGTGAAGACGACAATTGACTACCTGCAGCGAAATTTCAAGCCCCATAAATTACCTGCCGCAAATCTCCGACGAAACAACATAAACCGGAGTTCGTAATTGGTAGAGACAATATGGAAATATTAAATTTGCTTGAAAACACTTTTTCGTTCTATTGGTTTTAACTTTCATGAAAATGGTTTGCATTAACTTAAATCTCTCTTTTTGCAGACATGTCCGTATTTTCTTGGATATGTCTGATGCACTAAAATTTTATGATTTTAAACTGAACTTTTGTTCCATATACAATAAGATTAGCAACAGTTGATTATAATGTAATTTCTGCATTTTTGAAGAAGTGTGCGTTTGATAACACTGAATTAGTATGCAAACAAGAGTTGGAAGCATGTTGGTTAACGTACAATACTTTGTAGACTAGTAAAAGTTAAATTAAAATCTACTCAAGTCAAATCGCAACATGCTTTGGTTCTTTGAGGGGCATGAGTAACTTCGGTTAGCCGACGTGGGATGTACGGTCATGTAATTTTTAATACGGTGATGTGTAGTGACATAGTGGTGACACGTGGTAACATGTGCGTTTTCTGAAAATTGGACAAAGTACTGTATGGTGCCGTCATTTTATTTTGTACATCCGATCAGTACTAAATAACATTATACAGCCACTAGGATTGCGGTTTATTCAGTCGCGTTGATATCTCACTGGCAATGGTATCGAAATTAAATTGAAGTAGGTTAAGAAGCTCATTTAAACATTTTTTTCGTTGCATCGAACTCTTCTGGTTAATTATTACTACTTGACTAGAGCGCTAAAACTAAAAGCAGTAAAAGCATAATAACCTGCCTTATGATATTAGGCCTATATATGCACTGGACGCCAGTAATCTAAATTTACATAATATAGCTATGCTGATGGAAATAAAACAGCAAAAATATAAGAAAGGTCACGGAGCTATTTATTCTGCATGTATTCGCACACTAAATGGCAAAAATGGCTGGACATACCTCGGTAAGATGGACGACCCATGCTCGCTACTGACTAGCAGCTCACCTTAACATTAACGGGAAATGTGTTTAAGTCTATACTTGTGGAAGGACTAAGATCGAAGTACCAGAAAATTTTTTATATAGACAACCCGAATGCACTGTAGAGGGACAATTAAATGATTTCAACATTCATATAACAAAACTTATATCGGCTTATCCCTATTAGTCTCTTTATCGGCTTATGTGCGGTTGGGTATTGGACGACAAGTTAAATGTTGTAGTGGAAACCTATGCCGATCTCTTCGAAAATGGTTTATGATCGTGAGTCTTATGAGCATGGGTCTGCGCGGATAACCGACGTGGGAATGTCCGCTTAAACAGTTTGTATTGCGATCATGAGTGGTGATACGTGGTAACATGTGCGTAATTTTGTTCTATACAGCCGATCAATTAATTAATAACATAAATGCTATAAATATGTCTGGTTATTCAGTTGCGTTTTACTTTTAGTAACGATGTTATCCTAAATAACTGAAGTAGGTTGAGAAGTTATCAAACGTGCTGCTAATGCCGTAGTTTCGAATGCACATTTCACCATAACGTAGCCACTTTGAGAAGAACGTCTTCGTGCATATGCTGGTCGTATTTTAAAGTTTGACGATGCCGTCATTTAAAACCGGTACATGTATTGCAGGGAATTGGTTTGGGAAAATTATTTTTGTTTGTACTTAAACAGTAAACAGAAACACTGAGACATGATTATGCCGCTAATTTATTTATCGGTACAAAAAACCGATCCATCAGCATGCCATCACCTTATCCAACCGTTTCACAAACAAAATTAAGCATAAAATTTAAAATATACTGTCAAAATTACTTATAGTTGCCGTGGCGGTTCAATATAACTTATTACAGACGCCACTTAGCTGAATCTTAACAAAACAATTAAGTTTAAAAAAGCGGAAAGCTGAAAGTAAAGGTCAATTTTGGAGCCAGGACCGGTATGTTTAGCACCTTTGCGCTTTCAAAGCTACGCAGTTTTTCTCTTTTACTTTCGGAGTTCTCAAATGACTTTCTTATTCCATTCGTAACCTGCAATAAAATAAAAAAGATAATGTCAATTGGAAAGAGTCAGATTAAACATGTCTATGATAATTCTATAAAGAATTAGTGGCTAGTGATACTATTTCGTCTAAATAAAATACAGTTGCTGCTGCGTGTGGATGTGGCGTACATGAGCGACTAACATCAGGATTTTATCAGCCGATTATGCCCTTGCATCCTTCGCCGCCACATAAACATCGAGGAAGGTTTTTGTCAGTTGTCCAATTATAAGAATAGGTAACTTCTTCTCCCTTTTTTATATTTTGATGTGCTTTCAGGACAAGGAGGACGTCCTCACCCACGCACCACTTCTCCATAGTTGAATTTGGATTACAACTATGATTTGCGAATCGGGAAATCGTGCCATAATATTCGGCGTCAATAACAAATCCCGTGGAAGGTAAGTCCATGAAATAATAATTTTCATCTTTATTTTCCCGTTTTTTTGCCATTCGGCTAATCATCTCGTCTTTGGAAATCACTTCACCGCGATATTCCGAGATTAATGCACCCTATGAATTGGACAGTTGGATTATCTGATTACAATAAAATAAGTCAATAAATCTCACAAAGCGTACTCGGGAAATATTTTCTTCAGCAAACAATCCCGCTCCTTTTGTGGCTGTTTTTTGTACGGAAAGTTTAGCGCGATGTAGGCGGGATACTTCCCGATTCTGACAACGTGGTCCACACAAGCAAGCGTCGTCATCGCAATCGATAAAACGAATCCGATTCTCACAGCCCGAGTCAATTTCGCAGTTGCTTCCCACAGAATTGCAGCCACACGGAGTATATTCTCTTTTACGGCCTTTTATCAGAGTTGTTGTGAACGGCATTATAAGGCCATCCATGATTACAATATTATGCTGTAGAGAAAAAAATACACTATCTCCAGCTGTACTAATCGGTTTTCTTTATTTACCTCGTATTCTTTTTCCAGCGACAATGCTGATGGTTTCACGACCAATTTTTCGACTACACAAGTTTCTTCCGCATGCAGGCTATGAAACAACAGTTTACAATTGCCAGAAAAAAATAGAAATATCCATTGCAGAACGTACAAAAAAAGAAAGCATGCGGAAAAAGTCTGAACTATTGACAAAATGCAATACAACGATCATTTCTACCATGCGGCATGTTTCGACGGGAGTGAGAACTATTTATTTATGTTCTGACAACTTACTCGTGAAGACGCTGAACAAGAAAATGGTATTTTCCGCTCATGTCTATTCCACCCAGAATGCAAAACGATCGTAGTTTCAAAAGCTCTTCAATTTTATTTTCCACATCCTGGTCTAACGGCTCAGGATCTTCCTTGTTTTCAATTGTCACTGAACGAGTTTGACCCTTTTCGGTTTTCACTGTGTACATCATGGTGTGAAATGGCTTTGCCAACTCTTTCAGAATCCTCATTTCTTTTGTGGAAATGAAAAACGGTCCAAGCGCGTCGAAGAGCATTTGCAAATTATAACGTGGTTTCAGAATTTGGAGCGCGGGATCATATCTGTTCGGCACCATTTTCAGCTTCTGCAGATCTTCGTGCAACTTGTCTAAGATTCCTTGTCCCGGTACACCTGGTTGCTCTCCGTGTATTATGTGGAAGAAATATTCAATTTTGTATCCAACTTCGTTATCCAAGTTAACCTAGTAATGCTTTAAAAAATGTAATTACTGTGCATTTTATTACAAAATAATTTATACCTCGCACAAAGCGCTCCCGTCGCTGGACTCGATAAACATCTGTAGGGTCAAATCCAGCGGTAGTGCGACATTGCCCGCAAACAAAAATGTCTAATCGGACAAAATGATTTAATTCATAAAGCAGAATTGGACAAATACACATTTTTTACCGTCAGTCCCGCTTCAGTACAGTTCGTCCGTGAATCAACCATTTCTTTCAGGTCTGACAATTGAATCTCTGATGGGTTAACCGTAAATGCAAGTGGTTCCGTACAATCCCGAATCTATATAACACAAATTTTTAAAAGTCCCTGCAACAACGAACCTGGTAAACCTTACTTCTTCTTCGACACGATCCTCAGCATCAGTTCCATACAAATCAAGAGGACATTTAGCCAAGCGCCTAAAAAAGTCAAACTGGTAAGAGGTTGTGTTCACAAAAACGTGGGAATATATCCAAACAAGTTGGTGGTAAAAAGCTCCAGGAACTTACCAAAAATCACTGTTATGATAACAATAAAGATGGACAAATTCCATGCCAACGTCATTCGCATGCTGCTCCATTCTAGGTTTAACACAGCCAAAGAACTCAAACCAAGACAAAGAGTCTTCTAATCTCGAATCTCAAAGAGTCTGGAAGGCTTTTTATAAAATCGATGTCCAACCAAAAGCGATATCAAAATGCAACAAAACGGATTACTGCAGAAAACCATCTTATGAAAAATTAAGTAAACTGTCAATGGCTAAATTGACATCAGTGGTGATATGCTACTTCCGATTGCAACAGCATAGCATAAGTGTGAGTGGCAAAATGCCTACGGGAATAGTACTGCTTGCGCATTCGACAATTTCTCATGTTATACTGAAAAGCCATCAGATCTATGGGTAAACGTAACTTAAGCGGACTTTATTTATTGTTTGTCTTGCCCATAAAAACCGTTGCATATGCACCAAACAGAAGACAACAAAGTGCTAAAGGAAATGCGTGATTTTAAAAAAAGTACAGTTGCAATATTTAAACTTCAAACATAATTATTCTCAAACGGTAAAACGTCGACAAAAGGTCAAAAACGACGTTGAACTATTTTTGCTTCGGCGTTAAATTAATCGATTCCAATGAACCGTCATAATTTTTCGCAACTATCACAACAATTGGGCAAAACCAAAACCGTTTGTTTACAATCGCCTTAAGGTCCACTTTGTGATCGTTCAGCATTCCCCGGTGACCATTGAGGACTTCCTTCTTTCTGCAAACAAAAACTCCGCATGTCTTCTCCGTTTTGGAGAATGTTAGGCTGAGCCATTGCCGCTGGCTCATTATTTCCAGAATGGCTGACAACTGTGAATAGGACAAGAGGTTTCTTGGATTTCTTTTGAAACTTTGTGGTGAAACTTGAACGACAAATTCCCGCTCCTCAAATATATTTCCGCTTCCATCAATTACTTCACTGGTCAGTTCTGGTGTCGGCGTTAATTCAGATGTAATCATTCTGGAGTTTACAATTCGCTGAATCGCAGGCCATGCACGTATGTGGTGATAGTGTGGTAGCATCATGACGAACTGCATCCTGTATATTTCAACGTAGTCGTTGGAAGCCGAGTCCTACAATGTGATAACTGATAAGTAATGCATTTGGTTTCCGAACAATGTTAGGCAAACATTTAGTACCTTTTGAAACCCATTTTGCCCAAGTCTTCCGCCGAATTAAGTTCCCACTCCTGAGGAATCACGAAAGAGTCCCGCAACAGAAACAGCTGTACATCGATTACAATTACTTTTTACTTTAAAATACAATACATACACACCGCGCAACAGAAAGATTGATCGACACACACCCTAATATTCTTATTCAGGAAGGGAAAACCAGCTTCGCCGAAAACCTTTTCGGCAATAGTCGAAAACGAAAATCCGGGAAATATCATGGGTATCTTAATTGTCCGGCGTTCGACCTAAGCAAAATTTTGATTTCGTTTTAGAAGATGCATCGCAGTGGACAGTGAACAGAAGTTAAAAAACTACCTCTTGGAGAATGGCATCAAAAAAGGTGTGAGCGTAGAAGCACATCGCACATCGTAACTTGCGGCTAAGCGATAAAAGTTCATAAACACTCAACACAGAATGCGAAGTGCATTAGCACAGACTTACGTCAAACCAGAATTGGCAGTCACATGGAAAACGTGCTGTTTCCCCGCGTAGGACCTTCGCGGTCTTTTTGTGGAGGTTCCGTCACGGCTGTTGTCCAAAGGCTTCCACACTGGGGACGCTGTGCAATTGATTTCAGGACTACTCCGAGACATACTGAAAACGCTTAATCTTCATCTGAAATAATCTAAAAGGAAGACCAGAAGATGTAAGTAAGTATTAACGATAAACAGAATTTTGGACTAACAAATGATGAGCACCGATGGTCAGCAGTTTGCAAAAGTGCACAGGCAAAAACGTGATTAATCTGATGCTGTCGTGTCTCTGTCGACTCTGAGTACAAAATAGTTAGTGCGGTCAGTTGCCATGTACTAGGTATAATGCGTTAAGTTAACAGCATCCGGGCGTGGAGACATGTGGTAAATTGTACGTGCGGAAAACACCGGACAAAGTACAGTGTGATGCCGTACTATGTGATTCCTTTGACCGTACATGCGATCGATATGAATTAAATTAATTGAGTCGGGTCTTTATAATTACATAGGTTTTCCGTTTTCCTTTGTACCTTGTTTGCATTTGTACTGTTGATGGGATTATTAGACTGGTAAATTTAACAGTACAATCTGACAACTGCGTTCGAAAGAGTGACAGATTTTTAAACTATTGTCACTCTGTCCTGCATAAACTCAGAATGGCTGAAAACCCAGGTTCTTCGGACAAAATCGATTCTGTTGTGCTGGAAACGGTAAGTCTTCAGCCTTTTTACGACTTCGTTTGATATATTTCTTGGCAAACGCTAAAAAATTTGTAGAACCGATGTCCTGAAGAACATCGTGCGAGTAATCTGGAACAACAAGTGTATTGGTTGAAGGTGGTGTACCGCAAAAAACTGATGTAAGTTGAAAATGGGTACTTCGAATCCCGAAAATCTGGAGTAATTTGAAAAACGAGTTTCAAGTTATTTTTTTCCGGCAGGAAGCATGTAGCGTGCTCCCGCTCAGCAACACCTGAAGAATTGCAAAGAAAAATTGATCAGGTAATGTTATTTAATTCTGAACGCTACATTGCTTAGATTAAAAGTAATTCAAAAACTTTTCAGTTGGTTCGAAATCCACGAACTCACTTACTGAAACTCCAGGGATCATATTCTGTCGCGGAGTTGGAGAAATGTCTTCACGATAAGGTGTTGAAGCTCCAGGAGTTTAAACAGACACGATGCAAGGTATGCTTACAAAGCTTAGATTAAGTTTCCTATGTTGATCTCAAATTAAATATCCCAGGTGGTTTGCTGGAGTGAAGGGAAGGTTTTGAACAGCAATGCCTTAGTAAGTGACTTGATGGAGAAAAGTTCACAGGAAGGAGGCTTAGTTAAGGTAAAAAATCTGAAGCAGTCATAGCATTCATTAACACTAATTAATTTTTGTATATTTTAGGAAATATGCGACGGCAATATGTGCGGGAATGTGGATTATATTTTCTTGCAAAGCCATCCATATGGCACAAATAACGGTTGGCAAAATTTTCTGAATAAGGTCCTTGCTGCTGAAGCGGAACTGGTGAAATGTCAAGCCAAAGTGCAAACAGCAGACGAGCAATGGTGGATGGATAATCTCATGGGGAAATTTCTTGAGGACGTTCTGCCCAAGTTTCAGGAAGAAGGCGTGCAACCGCGAATGGACCTGATACAGGAGAGGTTTTCCAGCTCGGCGTTTGTGCTGAACGATGAGCTGGTACGTCGATTCTTGGTAGAAGGATTAAAAAATGGATTGCTGCAAAAGCGATTCATTAACGGACAGTATGAGTATCATTTGAACTCTAGCGTAAAGCTGTCCCGCGGATTTGCTATTACGAATGCGGAGGAGTTGCGAGTAGCATTACTGCAAACCGCGAAGGAGCTGCAGTCGCCCGAAGGACTGGGTACTGAAGAACTGAAGATGGTGTTGAAAAATTCATGGGATATACGCCTGGAAAACTGGGAGGAGGAGGTGTTCAAGGCACACAAGCAGCTGTTACAAGAAACCGTCTTCAAGAAGTATCATGAAACAAAACCATCTAATACCAATCCTGTTACACAAGGAGGGGGTAAGTTTGCAAAATAAGATATTTCATCAAGTGTACAACGTTTATCAATTTATGGAAGAATTTTTTTACAGAAACCATGGACGCTGAATGAGCGGCGGAATTAATGGATACATGTTTGAATGGGGAGAAGTGACTTTCAGCATAGCCGTTGCCTTATGTAATTAGGATTTTTCAAAGATTAAGTCCGAAAATATGATGCGTTTATTAGAAATTCATTATTTGATACAGGAAGTCTTACATTTGTGCTTTTTTAAAGGAAGTTCCAGCGGCGTGTGCGGTGTTTGATGATTTACTAGTTTTCTGGCTTTTGTGCGTATTTCTGTATAAATCTTCAGTTTGGAAAACACTGATGCAAGTGTATAGGATTTAGACATCGAGATTATTCATTCACCAGAACGTCCAAGAAAATTGCTTGGGTTGTGAAGCATTAAATCACAGGCATGAAAAATGGGTGTTCAGTAAATTACAACTGAAATTTATTCATAATGATGATCTTGCCAACCTCGCATTCAGCGGCTTGTTTGACTTGTGAAAATAAATTATAAGCCATTTTATTTCTCTAAAATTAGAAATAGACAATTCAAAACGATGTATTGCAAAGCATTTGTAATAGAATCTATATTTCAAAAAATTCTAAATTATATTAATTTTAAAATACATCCATTTAAACCACGGACAGTTCTTGAGTTTTGCAAGTGCTTACAATGGCCAACTGTACCGGGCATGAACGCATAATCCACTATTTAGCCGATCTTTTTCTTTACGACTGTAGCGCCGCAAACGACTGTTTTCTGGTACAGTTTAAGATTATGTAATTGTTGGGAATTTTGACAAAATTTGTTATATGCCAAATTTTTTTCCAGGTGTTACATGAGTTGATGGGATTGTAATTCCTGGATGTATGTCATTGGAATAAAATATTAATAGTAAGCTGGCTAAGAACAGTTGGAAAAAAAACAACTTGATTATTTCCAATGCTTTTTATATTGTGATCTACTTTCGAGGGTTTTCGGAAAATGAAAGCGTCAACCATCGACCGCATCGAAAAACCCATTTCGAAATTATATTCCTACCTGTTTGCTCACGGTGGTGACATATGGTAAAAGCGCATCAATTATTAGCGAGGTTTAATACCGAATCACGGAGTGTTACTATTTCTTTGTGTTTTTGCTATACATCGCTTTCGTTTTCGTCATTAGAGTATTGAATTGAATTCATTGATTCACAAGTGCATTGAATTCATTCAGGAAACAGTGAAAATATCCGAATTCATGTTAATAGAATGATTTGCCAGTATATCACCACACTGTGCAATCGATCTAGGCGAGAATTTATCTCAGTTATCTGCTCTGAAATAAGTGGATTAACGGCTTTTTAAATTTTTAATTTGGTTGTTGTGTAGTAATGTAAAGTCTTAACGTAAATAGGTTAAAAATTTTGCCGCAGAGCGGAAAAGCTTTGGTTTTGCGACAGGTGTTACTTTCAGTGTTTGGGAGATGAAACGTGTATATCTCTGGTGTTTAATTCAGTTACTGCTTATTTCGGAACATAAACAGCTTTTAAAAAATCACAAGCCTCTTGCCCTAATAATTACTAGCAGGCAAACGCATTTTCTTGTCAACTTACTGCCTTCGTAATACCAGATTACTTATGAAATAAATGATAATTTTTTGTAATGTACATTCCTGTACCTAATGACCTTTCGCTCGCTGTACGTTAAAATGGCGCTTAATTGTCCTAAAACATGCTGTAATTCGAAAAGGCGTTGTTTGCTCACCGTTCTCGGCCAACTGACCTAGCATATTCACAGTATCTATTGCAATGTATCGCATGCAGGATCCCGAATATCGTAAGAATGTTTTTCTTTTGTTTATTATCAGGAATATGAAAACTGAACTTTGCACAAGTATAATTAATACCATTGAATGCAACCAATAGACACCTCATATTGCAGTTAAACCACTTAATATGGTAGTAAAACCACATTGTGGTGTTGCTTAATGAACCAAGGCTACAAGAAAAGGAAATTTGAACTAGCATATATAATTTACGCTAAGGAATGACACATGCAAATTGGACAACAATCCTAATTGATATGAAATATTTTACAACGAATTCGTTTCGTTGATCAAGTTAAATTTACAGTCGGTCTGTACATTGTAGATGGTCATAGTGGTGACATAAGGTAAAAATTCATTTGGTATAAAGAGCGCAATGGTATTAACTTATATAATAAATGTCATTTCATATTTTCATTGCAAAAACATTGAAATGAAAAATTATAAAAATGTGGACTATATGGAAACGCGTGTACTGTTGAAGCAGGCAAGAAAACTAAGTCAGTTATGTTATTTGCCAAGATATCACCACATGTATCTTGCCGCATTTCGCGGAACAACCTTACTAAACGTACTTATTGAGATGTGCAAGTATTGATGTCTTTCTTTCGGCGAATATTCATCAATGTTTTAAGGCATTTGGGTAGTTTGACTCAATCAAAACTTCTTTTCTTGCGGTAGATAACCCTGCACTAGATGTTTCTAACAATAACAACTATAAGTGGAACTTTGGATACACAACATAATATGCAACGCGTGAAATGGGCTAACTTTTAAGGTAGATGCAAGGCTGTTCAGCAAATTACATTTTCAGCTGCAAGAACGTGCTCGTACTCAATGTCACTGAAGTTATTATTTAGATTTGTTTATATTTTGATAAAAGGAACGTACGTTGCTTAATTACACTAATTTCTACGGTAATTAGTAGTAACTAATCTTATTAACAAAACCTCGTAAAATATTCCAAATATATTTACTTCCTACGTTTCAGTTTTTCATAAGTACCATCATCTGGACTCATATTCGTGGGTCACTTCTTGTTTAATCACATAAACAAGAAGCGCATCACATAAAGCCTAATTCAGCAGTTCGGTACAATCTTTCACGCTAAAACCCATAAATAACTCGTCGCAAATAACCATTATTATTGAATTTAAAGGAAAATCGAAAATTAGGAGTTCTGTAAAAAAGCACAGGCACTGTGAAATGACTTTTACACATTCACTCACAAATCCTTTCCTAAAAGGACGCGTGGCAACGCAAAAAATTATCAAACTTGCAAAAAATCCATTCTTAAACACGATTTTCAAATTCCTATCTATAAATCCGTGACTTGTCCCGGTCCTCTCTATCGCCGAAACAGTTGACGGAGACAATATCTTCATGCTCAGCTCCGCATTATGTCCATTAATCATTCCTAGTCCGGTCCGATACCATTATTGAAATGAAATTTTCAGGACCAACTTGCATTAATCTTGATCAGCTTTGTTCCTGTACGAGTTCATACATACGTCCTATTTCCGTTAAGCAGGAATGCAGTTTATCCGATGCGTGACCTATAAAAGCAGATTATTTATTAACAATCTCAAAACTGTTTGAAGATTAGCTACACAAAGCTTATCTTTAAAGTCTCCAACTCGCTAATGACCTTCCGCATCCTAGTGTTCCATATGAAGACGTTCGTCGTATTTATTAGCCCAGGGATTATCCACTGATGCAATTGCGCCTTTTACGGCGTCGTAAAAGGTACATTCATCCGTATAGAGTCGTGCAAACGTGATGATAGCAAAGCAAGTTTCCGCAGTAGGAATGGCATCCAGGTGCATGAGCGCACCAAATTTGACTTTAATCTTTGGAGCGACGTTGAGGTGAATCGTTCCGGTGATGTATATGCACAGTTTCTGCAGATCTTCCCAACTTAACGCATGGATTGTGTTCTTAAACCATTCGTATAACTTCAGATCATCAGCCGATGCGGTGTCCGAAAGGTCTTCTAAGCTGTTGACAAAATCATCCGCGTTTTTGATCACTTTATACAACAGCTCCGTTTCGATATCGAGAAAATTTCCAAGATACGGCAGCAGTTCCTGCAACCAGCGTATAATTTATTCCGAACTGCAAATTGTTATGCCGACTCCGTAATACCTGTTTTAGATTCCCCAAGAAAAAGCCTTCCGCTATTAAGTCAAGGTTATGTTTGCGCTTCCCGCACAAATCCCAGTCGACAATAAGCAGTGCTAACTCTTTCGGATGAATGTGGTAAATACTGGATTCCTGAAAAGAACTTTTTGCATATAAAGAAAAAATATGAAAAGTATACAAATGAAAGCCCTGCAATTTTACCGGGAAGTGTGTTCCTTCCTGCCAGACCAACAACTCTTCAAGCAGTACCGGATTCGTCTGACGAGACAACTTCTCGGATTCATTCAGCAGTTTATTAACTATCTTCCCGAGTCCTGGACTATTGGA